ATGCAGATCTTTCAAAAATTCATTATATGCAATCATTTTGAATTCCAAGTGCTAACTTCAATTAAGACAAAAAAGTACGTTAGGGAAAATATGATAACTAACCATATTACACAGTATTTTAATTAGATTTTTTTAAAAACTGACGATTATTCTAATATAATTTTAAACAATAGCATGTTTATAACGCTGAAGAACTTGATGCCATATATTACATCAGTCAACAGGTTTTTTAATATTAATCACTCCTATCCTTTTGAATATCACTGTTTTTAATGACATACATCATAATCATTACATGTTTTGAAATAACTTCTTGAATTTCACATTTTAGTTTAATGAGTTCATGTAAGTATCTTTAATTTTAAGTATTCTGTCATCTTGAATATGAAGTAATATGCTTTAGTTCTAATCAAGTAAAAAAATGAATCTAGATAATTTGTATTCAAACCATTCTTAGTTTATATTTGACATCAAGTGCACGCTGAGAAAAAAAGTATGGTAAAATTATCAGAATATGGTAAAATGTAAAGTGTTTCTGTCTTTACGGGAACACAAAAAATCTGTGCAATTTTTACCGAAACACTCTGGTAATGAATTTGGGTAAATTAACAACAAAATAAGGCTTTAGAATCTGTAATAAAGTTTAGAAATTGAGGTAAAAAATTTGATAATTCTATTGTGATATCTTTGAACACGTAATAAAAACCATTTATTTGGTTAAATTTAATTTTCCGTTTTGTATTGTTTACTAAACATGTGGTACTCTATTTCTGAGAACTAGAATTTCCGAAAATCATTTGGCTTATGAGCGTTAACACGGTAAATCATAATTAACGGATGCATTAGATAATCCGTTAACATACCAAATAAAGAATTGACGTACCGTATATTTCAGTTTTTATTACCAGAATTATAGGGGACTTACCAGAAATGTCATTGCCATACATTTCAGCACCTTTGACAGAATTTTTTCTTCCATGAACTATTCAACAAAACTAAGCTTTTTTTGTGCTACTAGCTATTCAATGCAATTTACAGCCAATAAAACTATTAGCTATAAATTATTAAAAACTAACATAAAAATGAAACTGAAAAAAATAAAACTATTAAAAAAAGGAAACTATAAAAAAAATAAAACTATAACTATAAAAAATGTAACGATAAAAATTAACTATAAAATAAACAATCTAAAAATACTTGTTCTTACAAGGCAGTTAACAGGAAACCTTTTTTGTTATGAAATTATATAATTACTGTGTCTACTTCGAAGTAATTATAAAGTTATAAATTACAAAAAAGTAAAGGTTTTTACTCAGAATAATATGGTGTAATATGGTTATGATGTATGGTGTATATGGTTATGATATATTGTGTATAACCCCGACAGAGAGAACTGTTTTCTGTTTTACAATTCTCGTCTTCAAAATCAATAATTATTTTTGCGTTTTAAGAAGCTCAATATAAAAGAAAAATTTAAATTTGTAAATCAGAAGGAAAAAAACTCAGCCGCCGAAAAAAATAAAACTAATGACCAAATAAAATTAATCAACTCCATAGCTCTGTAATTTTGAGCCCGATCCAATAGACAAAGGAACGCCTGGATTAATCATTGAGACAAACTGGCCTTCTGATGGAACATGATGAATAAAACCGAGAAAACCTCCCACTGTTAGCTCGAAGGGAAGGAGATTCGAACCTATGATCTTTCTACCACTGAGGGTATTTTACATCAGCCCTGTGGTCGATGCGAGCCTGTGGCAGATTTCGGGCCACCATCCACGACTGGAATTTGAACCTGGGTTACCTAATTGAGAGGTGTATGTTAAATCCTCTCAAAAACCGCAGCTCAAAATTAGTCAGTTGTGGTTAATCTAACACAATTAAAATTAATAAAACACAAACGCTAGATTTTAAGAATCTCTATCACAAAAATGGACCTGAATCACTCTTCAAATAAGACGCCTTCATACGTAACAACAAGGTACAAAAAATTTGACTGATATTTTATAAATATTTTAATCTTCCAGAAAGAAACCACGGTTTCTATACTCTAAAAATGTGTCCGGGTACAAGTTAAAAATTTAGAATGCTTTTATAAAACGTTTTCTCACAAATAAATTGTGCTAATCGTTTTAAGCCTTCCAATGAATCAACAAACTCAAAGGTTATCGAAAAAGAATTAATCATGAGAATTACTGAAGGCTTCGTCATTATGCCTCATTATGTGCATTGAGAGAGGATTTTAATTATCAAATTCAAATGCAAAAACTAAACTTTTTTTCAGTCCTTTATCTCCGATACAATAGTTTGACATTAAATAAACATGATTTTTGCTATATCATGTCATTTGTCACAATTTTTATACATTAACAGTGGTTGCTAAACACTGGCCACTTCTATGTTTTAGGACTTTTAATTAACAGATTTGTCGTCTTCAAGTTATTTTTGAGCATGTAGATAGTTCAAATGTTCTTAAGAAGCATATTTGCATTCATTTGTTCAATTACTATTTATTCAATTTTTAGAACAAATTTTAAAGGCGTTTTTTTATAATACATTTATTTTATATTTGACAAACGCAATTTTTTTTACATAATAACATTTAAAATAGTTTTTTTCGATATTTATAAGGCAACTCAGAAACATAGTTGAGGCTTTTAAGAAATCGTAGTAAAATGACAGGCTGTTCTACTTTTTTGGAAATAATTAATCATACTTCTGAACATTTTTAAACGTTTTTATTAATCGTACACCTTGGAAAAAATTATTCATATGTTTTTGATTAATTATGCGTTGGGATTACTTACGAAGTTTGAACATATTTCAAAACAATATAGGACTTTAAGTATTCCATTATTTTCAAGTGATTTTACTCTATTCGAAAGAAAAATCTACTTTAGTCTAGAGAAATTGCAATATTAGTCACATTCAATGTAGCTAATAATGTAAGGCAAAGTTTTATACGGAAAACACAGAAAAAATTATAAATTTATCAACCTATTTTTCTTAAATCTTTCAATTATGATGTTCTTACGACTCGTGTACGCACTTTTGAACGGTACTTTTGTACGATAATATTCAAACACAAAACAAGAATATCAACCAACAAAAAAAAGCTTCTATAAATTAATAAAAATTATAAATTGCAATTTTGAAAAGCATTTTGTCTTATTTATTATTATGTATTTTAACTAAACATTAAGTATTTTAAACTAAACCAATTTTAATATTAAATCCATTTATAGATAATAATTGTGTGATTTCAGATCAAGTAATTAAATGTATTTTATGTTAAAAACTAAAATACGATTAAATTGTTAATAAGATAGCTTTTATATAAGATGAAACATTTTATGGTTATACCAACCAAATTTGCATCCGAATTATTTCAATTAAATTCATAAGATTTCTAGTAATTTTCCGACTTAAATTCATTAATTTTGAAACATATTTATGTATACTAATATGCTAAATTGCTATCTTAATAACGCAATTAATTAAAACCAAACATTCAGAAGGTCGACACTTACTATTTACCCTCAAACATGTATAAATGTATTAAATTTTAAGCTAATGTAACGATACAGAGATATTTAATTAAATTTTCCTCTTCTCCAATTCAAAGACAAATGAAGTAAGGAATTAAAGAGTAAAGCAGCAATATTAATTTAGAAATCAATTTTAAGTTTTCTCATACTTGTGATTCTGTGCTAGACAGAGGTGAAATATAAATAATCAAAGAGGGTTATTTAAAGTCAACTTAATTACAAAGAAAAAAGATGAGTATTTTAATAATTTTAATGAAATCATTAAAATACTCATCACACGAAGTAAATTTTATGCGTTTTTTAAAATTTCCTCAATGGAGTCTGTCTAAAACATAATATAAAATTCTCATCCTGTCATGGATCCCGAAATGATCACTGATTTAAGAAGTGAAATTAAAAAAACTTTAAAAAAAATTTGAAAAATTAGTTAAGGATGTGTCGCGTTCTGCTAAACATACCATTTTGTTTGTTCTCAAGAAGTTTAAAAATTTAAAATTTGTGCCTATGTTCGTTTACATATGGTTGTTCTAGATGTTAGTCATCTGTTGCAATCCTTGAAATGCAACAGATGATTTCCATCTGTTGCATTTCGAGGATTAATTTCGGAAGATCAATAACAGGGGAAACTCTTTCACCCCCACGGAGAATCAGTGAAGATGGGCCGTTGGAAAGATGGAAAAATAGTTACTACATGTATACATTTTCGTTTTTCTGAGAATCAGCTTTAATGGGCAAATGCAATCAATAGTTTTTGAACTAGCAATCGAATTGTACTTCTTTTGCTATATCACACTAATTAAACATTTTCTGCACTTTATAATTTGCACTTCGTAATTTCAAGCTCTAGTCCTTTTAGATTTTGAACCACAAAGAAAAATGTAAAGTAAAACAGAAATAATTGAGAACAAATTTAAAAATAAAGAACACTTTGAAGCGCAATAACTTTCGAACAAATTGAAATTTAAAAAAAGAAAATTTGCGTTAAGTTCATAATCAAGTATTACCCTTTTTAGCATTTAAATCTGTATTTGTATTCCTGGGTCCCCTATGGTATTTTTCCAACAAGTTTACAGTTAACATTTCTCTTACTAATTATCGATTGTTCTTTTATTTTAATGCATCTTAATCCCCATATTTTTTGTTCTTTAAGCCTTAATAATTTCAAATTTCTAAGTCTTAGACTTTTTGCGCAGTAAAACTATATACAACATTGATGTGAACACCCAATGCAGTGACATCAAAGGCACTTATTTTCTAATATAGAGAAGCAATGTAATACTTTTCCTGCTGTGTCAGATTTAAAATATATTTTGAATTATTGCGTAACAAGTAATGTAAAATTATTGGATTGATGTAAAATTATCAATGCACAATGAATAAACTATTCAATTTTTCAGTTATTGTGTTACAAGTAATGTGCATCTTAAAAGCGTCACTTATAAATCTTTACAGGCATTCTACAAAAAGGAGATGGAAATAATATTTACTTAAAAAACAAACCGAAACTCTTACTGACAAAAATGGGAGACGGTCAGCAAAGACCTCTCCAATGTCAAAGATGTAACGGTTTGGCAAGAGCTCAAAGATTGCTGGCACCAGTAGCTCTAGCAAGTGGACCAGATGGAACAATTTATGTAGGAGATTTCAATCTAATACGTAAAATAACAACTGATGGTCAAGTTACGACAGTTGTTGAACTTAGGTAAGAGATTTCATGGGATTTTTTTGTGAGGATAAAGCTATTGTAAATTTTCTTTTTTTATTAATTAAAAATGTTTGAAATTAATAAAAATTAATAAGGAATGCTTAGGAAGATACTTAAAACTTTACTATTAAAGACAAGTTTATTTTAGTGTACATACAAAATTACAATCCATTAGTTTGCTTTTTATAGAAAATTCAAAGTTTTCTTTTGCTAATATTTATGCTGATTTCTTTTTAAACATGGAGGAAATAATTGTATGCAACAAAGTTGCCGAAAACAGTATTTCCATTATACGTGTAAAAACTAATTTTAGCGTAGGAATAACACTGTTCACTATGAAAAGTTCCAGATCAAATTACGGTACAAAGTACCGGCACTTCGGTGATTCATCCGTAAAAAATTCATTTTTACCGTTAAATGCTATACCTTAATTTTTGCAGTAATATTTATTTAATTAGAGATATTTACTGATACACTACTGTTAAAAATATGGTGTATTAGAACTTTTCCAGTATCATGTTCCGTTGAAAAGGAATTTTACAGTACAAAATGTTTCGGCATGTACAAGCGTACACATATTGATACCGATTGCACGCATATTGATCCGGATCTATATAGCAAAAGTGCATATTACTGCTACAGTGCATATCACTGCAAACACTTTATTTTAATTTATTACAAAACTATAAAAGCCAACCGTTAATAACATTGTGATTTAGTTTCATTGTAATTATATCTCGGTTGTGTTCATATATTCAAAAGATACCATTAGAACGTTTTAATTTATGAATTGAGACTTGATAGCAAATAATACATATATAAATAACATGATTATTATCTTATCATATACTCTACTTTATGAAGGAAGAGCGCTTTCATTGCGTTTTTTCCTTTATTGACTTAGCATTAAAATTTTACAATAAAACAGTAGTACTGTCTGGCAATCACGAGATGAGACTCCGTTCACATTGATATAAATCTCATAAAGAATTCATCTCGTAATTGTAAGATAGTACTTGTTTACCTTAAATCACCAGTAGAGGCATTTAAGACAGATTTTTACTACGGCAAGTAACTTAGCACACGTAAACTTGTACTGAGTCATTGAAAATAAATGCTCACTGCAAATTATCAACTATATAATAACAGAGCAACAGAAGTATCATTAAAATTCAATAATTTTATACAGAAAATGAACTAAACAGAAATTTTGCATAACTATTTAACGAGGAACATAAAAACTTGGAGTTATACTCTGTTGCAAGTTAAGAAGAAGGACTATGCTCTCCATAGGTACTCCATAGGGATGCAAGCAGGCTCTCTTCATAGGGACTATGGTAAGAGCCTGTTTGCATCTAAGTGCACGCTAAATGAATGTAAAGCTCACAGTGCGAGCGTGCATCAATATCCCCAACTCCTGAAATTACGTTGTAAAGTCTCTTTTTTGCTTGCTTTCGTATTATTATTAGTAATAGTTATTAACAATAATTAATTATCAAGTAATACGAATTAATAAAAATGATGTCTAAACCGAATAGTGGTAACGAATAATGAAGCATAACCATGAACCCATTTAAAGAAACTTAGAAAAGAATAATAAATATTGTTTCTTGCAGACGATTTTCTTCTACAGCGAAGCAAAAATAAAAATTCTTTATCTCTCATTTGATTTGTTAAGAGCATGTTTGCATAAGATGTGCCATTTTTAGTGGTTCAATCAAATCCAATGGTCTCTCAACGTCATATAGTATCACGTCATATAATATCATGTTTCTTTTTCAAGAACGAATGTTCTCCTTATTTATCGAAATCTGTTTGCCAAATCTAGGATTCCAGTAAGGACATGAAGCTATAACTTTTATTTAAATAAATTCTATAATATATACCGTAAAAGATAGTGCGAATTAAATTTTAAAACTTTCTTTTTTTCTTTTTTTGAAAGCATATTTGTATAATTCGATGACGAAATAAAACGGAACTATCTGCACTCGCGAATGATTATTTAAATACAGTGCCGCAGTAATCTTTTCTTAACTTACTATAGAGTATAGGAAATATTTTTAGAAACTGCGTAAGCTATGAAAATAAATTGAACATATCAAGTAAAGATCTTCTTTTTTGTTTTTACAGTCCGGCTCAGGTATCGTACAGTTATCATTTGACTGTGGGTCCCGTGGATGGCCACTTATATATTTCTGATCCTGAACAACACCAAATTTTGCGCACCATTTCTATGTCAGAGGCAGCAGGCACTAAGAATAACACAGAAGCAGTGGTTGGCAGTGGAGAAAAATGTTTACCCAGGGATAAGGATCAATGCGGTGATGGCAGACTAGCCAAAGATGCCAGGCTTGCATACCCAAAAGGTATAAAATTTCAATTTTTATTTTCATTGCATAGGAGTTTAGAATGCTGTTTTCCAAAGAATATTAAACTCGACGCAAATGGGCTGACTGTTTAGGTTTGAATGTTTCTGCTTGCCTTGTAAATAAGGTGATTTCTGAAGTAAGGAAAAAAGTTCAACCGGTTCTATTATGTAACAATCTCTGCTTTGTGTATCTTCAAGAAAAGAAATAACCCTTCGCATGCTTCAGAATCAGTTTAGGTTTATATTCGGAACAAAGATAACGACTTTTTAGGAGAAAATATTAATATTTTTGCTTTAAGTTTGATTAACAATTAACAAACAATCGGTTAACAATTAACTTACTTATTAAAAAACCTCATTTACTTCAAAAACTTGCCAAACGCTTTTTCTCTGATTTACCCTTCTCGGCTACATTGGTTTTTCCTGTTCTGTTCCTTTTTTTTAAATTTTTTTTTTAACTTTTGGCTACTGCGTTTTTCAAGCTTTATAACACACCTTCATTTTCTTTCTTTTTTTGTAGCAACTTTACGTTCTATATCTCAAATCACTTTTGCTTCCTCGCATTCACATCTGACAAATTTTTGAGCACTTGAAACACGTCAACTTCGACATTTCCATTTGCATATTTTCGACAAAAAATAAAGCTTCATAATGAGTTATATCTTTTGCTCTATAGCTATGAACTATAACTTCCACTTCAGTGTCTGGGACTTACTCTTTCAATCAACTAATTAAATAAAAAGTTGCGATTTCGTTACCTAGTTTTATATTACTAATAAATTTCGTGGTACACTACATTAAAAAAAATTAGTTTGAAAATTCATTGTGTTAATTTGAGAGATGTTAAAAAGTTCAAACTGAATAGAAGAGTTGTAAAGAAATTTTGTCTGTATAAAAATTATCTATTGTTTTAATCCAAGTATGTACATCATTCAAATCACCTTAAATCAAAAAACCATGTTTTTTTCTTTAAAAAGTATCTGGAATGTATTGTTACATGTTTGAAAAATACTTCTACTCTTACAATCCATAAATTTCTAATATCCATTACCTTTTTTTTAGGAATTGCCATAACTAAAGACGGTGAAATATATATTGCTGATGGTACCAATATCCGCTTTGTTGATACAAGAGGAATTATACATACTTTAATAGGAGACTATTTTCATAAAAGTTGGAGACCAATTCCATGTTATGTTACTTTAAGTTTATCGCAGGTAAATAGTTACTAATGTACATTACGCAAAATAAGAAACGGGCCGCCTAGAACAACTTTTAATACAATAATCGGATCTTTAAGTTTTAGGACTCATTCGTAATGGTTTAGTGCTAATTAATTAGTGCAGATGATATTTCAGGTTATGAAATCAAACGCAAAAGCGTACTTCCTCTGAAAAAACGTGTCATTTTTTGACGAATTCAGATTTCGAATCCCAAAAATATGGGGGAAGCCGCATTCTGGGAAATAGGGTCCCAATACTTAGGTCAGTAGAGCCATCCAAAGTTTGGACCCCTTAATAATTAACGTTACTTTTCGTGTATTTCCCCGCATCTCGAGAAATTTTCAAACGAACTGAAAATCTTAGCACACAATTATAAAATTCGTTTATTTAAAGGTAATTTCATATAAAAGAAAATATTCTAGTAAATATTGATTATATTTTATTATTTTATTTAATAATGGTGGAAAAGAGTTTGCATTATAAGGTACACTATTTTTTACATCATTTCAAGGAATTCAACTTCACTTAGCAAAACACAAAATTTGAGCAAAATCGGTCAATTGTTCCTGAGAAATCAAATTTTAAGAATACGACCTTTCTGAAATTAAATTTCTCAGGAACTATTCGACCAATTTCACTAAAAGTTTGCATTTCCAGTTGTAAAATTGCATTCTTTAAAATGATATAAAGAAATTTTATACCTTTTCTACATTTTTTGACAGTTATTATATAAAATAATAGAAAAATAATAATAAACATTTACTAAAAGCTCCTTTTTGCATGGGATTGTCTTTGGATAAACAAAATTTATAATTGTCTGCAAAAGTTTTTCAATCGAAATATGCAAAAAGTAAGATTAACATTATGGTTTTAAACTTTAAAACCGCTCTCCTAACCATACTATTAAGACCAAAATTCCCTGAGTGCGGTCCTATATTTTGGGGGTCAAAAATCCGAATCCCCCGAAAAAAAATTATCTTTATTCAAAATAAATACATTTTTGTGTCTGATTTCGTAACTTAAAATATCATCTGGAAAAATTTATTAACATCTTTATGAATCATTAAGATTGAGTCCTAAAATGCAAAGATCTGATTATTAAATCAAAAGTTATTCAGTTAGGTTCGTTCTTATTTTATGCAGTGCTAAATTTTCAGTAGGGTTTATTCCTGAAAAACTAAAGATTCCAACATTAAAACAATTCACCCGGAAGGATAATTAACAGTATTTAATTAGTAATTCTAAAACTATGTTTAAAGTAGAGTAATTACTTACTATCCTTGTATAATTTAATTTTTTGCTTCTTAGGAATTACAAATAATTGTATTTAAATAATTGTTAATAAATTTATTTAAGGAATTGAAAGTAATTGTATTTAAAGCAATACCAATATGAAAAAAGAATATTTTCTAAAATACGCACAAGTTAACTATTTTCAATTTTAAATATAATGCACAATTTTATGTTAGAAAATTAAACTTTAAAATTAAAGTTGACCGTATCTTAAAATACAAGACTAAAATGATTTTTTCATTAAATTTATCTTTTAAAAAGTGTTAATTGCACTTTATGTTTTGTAGCCTTTCAGTTTTCTTGCTTTCCAAGTCGGTAAATTAATAAATGTTTGAAAAAATTATTGAATTTTTAAAAGAATGTGGCATATTTTTCATATTTTAAGCTGAGAAATGAAATTCTTAGCTAACAAAATTTAAATTTAATAATTTTATCTTCAAAATTTATACAAAATTGGTACTATATTAAAAATTTTATACAATTTTTCCCAATCCTTTCCCAATCCTTGAAAATTTGCTTACTAAATTTATCATATTTCTTTCTTTCTCGTCTGTACTTTTAACCCCTTGAAGCAGAACTTTTTTTAATCTGATTTTTCATACTTTTTTCATCATTTTGTATTAGTTTAGGTCAAACTAAGTAAAAAATATCATATTTAGCATTCTAATAAACTATGATTTTTAAATACAGCATGAGACACCAATGTATTTTTCTGCGTTAAATGTAAATTCTTCCGAACACGGCTCACTTCCAAACAATATTTTTTTCCTAATTTGAGCTGATTCGCAGTTATTTAGATCCACGAGAGTTTGTTATTCATTATTGAAATTGTTGATGAATGAAACAAAAATTTTCCCTCTTATTTTTTGGATTTTATATTTTAAAAGAAACATAATTCTGATAATCCAACAGATTTTTTTGGTAACAATTAGACTGTTTTTTTTTTACAAATAAAACGTACCAAAATATAATTTTACTTGTAATAAGGGCGTCAGAAAAAATATGTAAAAGGGACAGCACTGTCCTTCTGCGTCAGAGGATTGGAACTTCATAAGTAAATACAAAGACGAGTTTTCAATCAGGTTGTAATATTCTTTTATGCATGCTTTTAACATGTATAACATGTTAAAAACGTGTATAAGAAGACACAAGTTTTAACATGTTAATGTAAGTAGTTTTAACATGTTAAGTAATTTTTAACATGTTAATGTTTTTATATATGCTTTTAACATGCATAAAAGTATACTTAAAACAGCACTATTACAGTAAAAATGTGATAGTAAAAACTCGTATTTTACGTGCATGAAGGTTCTTAAAATATTGCAAAAATATGCGTTAAATTCATAGTTAAAAACAGATAAATTTGTTTTAACAAATGTGGACTTATTTATGGCTTTATTTAAAATCATACGGACTTATACAAAAATAGACGTTGTGTAAGTTCAAATTTAAATATGAAATTTGTTGAACAACTGTTTTTAAACAAATCTATATTTGAAAACAAAAGGAGCTACAACTGTTAGCATGTTTATTTTTCTTTAATTTAGGTCAATCTCAGATGGCCTACAGAGCTTTCGATCAACCCTTTGGATAGATCTCTACATATACTCGATGACCATCTAGTCTTGAAAGTAACTCCCGATAACCGTTTGAAAGTTGCTGTTGGCAGACCATTGCAGTGTCCAACCCAATCATCAACAAACAGCCGAGAAAAGAGTGATTTAGCCACAGATGTCTACTTGGAATCTCCTCAAAGTATAGCTTTTGCTCCTAACGGCGACCTATACATTGCAGAAAGCGATTCTCAAACTGTAAATCGAGTTAGAGTCATTGGCAGTGATGGTAGGATATCCAGATTTGCGGGTTCGGAATCCAAATGCAGTTGCTTAGACGAAAGCTGCTCTTGCTTTGATGAAGAGCATGTTCTAGCTGCAACCACGAAGTTGAGCACCATCTCTTCAATTACAGTTTCTCCAAATGGGTTATTGCATATCTGTGATCAGGGTAATTTGAGGATACGTTCTGTGACTGCGTCATTACCTCAGTTGAATGATTTGAGTGAATATAACATCTACTCACCTGAATCGCAGGAAATTTATGTGTTCAATCGGCACGGACAGCATATAGCTACAAGAAATACAATTAGTGGGAAAGATGTGTACACTTTTTCCTACAATGTCAACACTAGTTTCGGAAAATTAAGCACAGTCACAGATGCGGCTGGAAACAAGATCTATATCCTCAGAGACTACAACAACCAGGTAAAATAGCTTAATCCTTATACATAAAATTACTACTATACTCCGTTGCAACATAAGAATAAACCATTGCTGTTTAGGATTTAAGGAATCATTCGCGACCAGTTTTATTTAGCTATTAAATTATATCATTATGGTTCCAAAGCAATATAAAAGCGTTTAATAGTTAAACTCGTCCGACAGAAATTTATTTTGTGCTTTTTTTTATAAGCAAAAAGAAGGCCGTGCTACGTCGTTTGAAGAGTTGGCGTTGATACTCGTTCGTGCTTGGAGTTTGGCATCCATTTAGCTTGCACTTATACGCAAACAGGCTCTCTTCATAGCGATAATGGTTTTTACTTAACTTGCAACAGAGTATAATTATTTTAAGGAAATGTAGTACGCATTTCCAAAATTTTCTCAAAAGTATATTTAGTTACTTACTTTTTTGAATTTTCGTGCTGATGTGCAAGTAAATAAATAACAAGTTTTTCCATTCACTTTCTTGGAGAAATTTTTTAAAAAAATTACGCAGAATTTTTTTTTTACTATAACGGAAATATTTTGCATTAATGTGGACATTTTTCTGCTTGTAATTTGAATAAAACTACCATGAATAGTTCTATTCTTATTCAGAATTTCGTTTATTATCATTTTAAAACTCCAAGAAATTCCCAAGTTGAAAAATGATTTTATTATTATTTTATTGATATTAAAAATATAAACCTAAGGGTAAATTTACTGACAAAAATGTGTATATTGCATGCAGTCACTGCTTTTGAGTATTTGTTATATATTACTTAAATAGGTTAAAACGTTATCATAGAGTAAAACACACTTAAAAATTTAGCATCACTTGAATTTAAACTCGAAGAAAATCGAAGCTAAGCCATATCTCACATATAAAAGAAGCAAATTTTTTGCTTGATATTTTTGCATTTGTCTAAAAATAAATATGTATCTTTTTTTTTCTTTTTAATTTTTGTGCTGTACTACATCTGAATAAATATATAAAATTTTCCATATAACTTCTTCAATACATATATCTTCCTTTTTTAAACATTCAGAGAAATCTTTAACTTAGATGTAACAGAAAATATTATGCTTTAATATAAACTATTTTTAATTTAATCTGAATAAAACTTCAACTAATATTTTATATTCAGTTTTTTTCGTATTAGCATTTAAAATATTTCAAAAATTTCTTAGCAGTGAAATACTTTTTTTTTTCTTTTTACAATTCAATAAATAAGCATCAAGATAATTTTTTTTAATATTTTCTGAAGACAAATTACAAATATCTAAATTAAAGACTTTCATTCATCAATGGTTTTTGGTATTCGTGGTATATACTGCTCAAAACAATTAAAGAATATTGTATTGTTTAGCATAAAATAACTTAATAAACATTTTTTTGGCATAAAATGGAAGAAGAGTCACAAATGAAAATTTTTCTCATTTTCAAACTTCGCAGTAGGTAAATTTTAAGTTTAACGTCGAGGACAACGCTTTAGCGGTAACGAATTTGATTTGATTTTCAACTTAATGTAAGACAAAGCGGGGAAAAATTATCGACATTCAGTAAGCGTGTTATTTCGATGAGTGCAATGTCTCAACAAACTGACCACAACACCTGCGCTTCGCTACTGGCACCACAATTTCGACACAAATTTTCCGAAAGCGCCTTCACTCCAGAGGTCTGTATGCAAGGCGACCAATGTTGTGTGTCACGTTAATATCAAGGCACCGTTTAGCCAGCAAGGAGTGGGCAACAGAGCATGTGAACTAGAGGAGAAATGAGTGGCGCAATATTGTTCTCTCTGACGAGTCCCGTTTTTCTGCTCATCCTGATAATATTTTTGCGTATTATGATGCGTATTTTTATCTTTAAGGAACGTGGCACTAGAAACTATCTACCGTTCCTTTCATGAAAGCGTGAGATTTAGTGTCGGGGTAATGGTCTACACTGGCATCTTCGTTGATGGATGCACCGATCTCCATATCATTCAAAATGGAGCTCTAACAGGTCCCCGATATAGGGATAAGATCCTGAGACCTATTTAGTCCCTTAAAAAGCAGCAATAGGAGAAGATTTCATGTTAATGGACAACAATTGCAGGTCACATTATGCTAACTTGGTGAATGATTTTCTTTTGGGGGAAGGAATCTTGCGAATGAATTGGCTGGCATGTTCTCCGTACATGAACCCAATCGAGCAAGTTCAGGACATTCTAGGCAGACAAATTGTTGGACGCCTACCACCCCACTAACTCTCCAAGAACTGGAAACAGCTCTTCTAGAGGAGTGGGACTGAATCCCCCTGCCCCTCATTAATATTCCCATTGATTCGATCCCTCAAATGTTTTCAACTTTGCTGGTCATCCGGGGAAACCATGCCCTCTACTAAAAACGATTTTCTTTTTAGGAAACGCCTTTTTTTTATTTGATTTACACGTATGCACAAACTGTGTTTTTTTTTTTCTTTTATACTCAAATACTCTATTGTTTTCCTTTTGTTTTTAATAAAACTTTTTAAAAAACGATAAACATCCGCTAAAATTCAAATTCACTCAATGTATCGGACTATCCCTAGGCCATGTCTCAAAGAACATTAAATTATTCAAGCTTAAGAGCGTGATTTGTGAGCGTCATATTTTATATATATTTTTTACCTCTGAAACCCTGATTAACGACCGCGAGTCTATCATAAAGATGCGTATTACGGTCATTTCCCTTTTTTAAAAAAACAGTATTCATCATGTCATTTTGTATATGGTGGGTAGTTTATTTCGTGTATATTTTGTAACATAGAGAAAATATGAATAAAAATTTATTATCATCGGGAGCTTTTTCCATAAAATTTTATTGAAATATTACTTTTGAAAAATTAAGCAAAAACCATCAAGTATTACCAAAATACTATGCATTTTAGTATAAATATATACATATACGAAATTTTAATGTGCCATTAAAAAAAGAACTTCTTTTGGAGAAATGCAATCTGATTTAATGTGTTGAAATAAGCATATGTTAAACATGTCATTTTCAATTTTTTAACAATAAAAAAAGAATTAGCTGTGATATACAATTTTTATTATTGTTTGCTCCATTAATAATTTTAATAGTCACTTGTGTTTAAAATTTTATCAAACAAAAAAAGCAGTAATCTTAAAGGTCTTGGTTTTCTCTTTTTTTCTTTTGTGAAATCTTAACAATTTAGACTTTAAGCTCTTTCCTTTTTTGACTATTTATGGTTAACAATTAACTAAATAATATCTGCTGATTAGATGACTAAGCGACAAACTAAAATTACTTCATTGTAGCCTGACTTTTAAAATTTTATTAATTTGTTTTCAAAATTGGAAAATTTTCTATTCGTAGAAAAAAGTTAAAAATAACTTTTTTTCTATTAAAAGCAAAATCTATAAATTTCTAACTCTTCTTTTAACTGTTTGCGTCATCGTCACACCGAAGGCTTTATATTCAGTCGTTCATATTACACTCAGAAAAAAGTATGGTCAAAACTACCAGAATATGATGAAATTTGTTATTTTAATAGCGCTAAGGGAACACTAATAATCATAGTACTTTTTACGGAAACACTTCGATAATTTCTAGCAATGAAATATGATTTTAAAACATGTGTTTAACTTTGGTAAATGTGACAAACTTCGGTAATTTATACCTTAAAGGATGGAATTAAAGTCATTTATGCGGTTAAGTTTACTTTTCAGCTTCGTATTTTTTTCTAAATGTGTGGTAATATGAGCTAGAATTTTGAAAACCAAAATTTCCGGTAAGCCGCTACAATTAGAAAGATGAATGGTTTAAATGCCGTATATTTAGATTTTACTATCAGAAGTAAGTTTTCTTAGCAAAAATGTAATTACCATACAAATACGGTGATTTTACCAGAATTTTTTTTCTTTGTGTAAAAAATAAAGATTATACTTTACCTTTAATTCCTACCTGCAAGCTTGCATTTGGCGAAAACTATAAATTCCTTACTCTCATTTTCACTGTTTGCGTCCTATCGTTCGCACAAGACACGTTAAATTCAATCGTTTAATTAATATTCAAAGAATACTTCAGCATTGGCTTAATCCTCTGTTTCAGGTGAACAATATTGAGAATACCCAGGGAGGTAAATGTCGATTAGAAGTGTCTCGTATGATGATGCTTCAGAGCTTCACAACACCGTCCAATTTCAAAACGACATTCGACTACCACGGAAGTACCGGTCTTCTCCGAAGTAAAGAGGACAGCACCGGAAAATCATACATTTACAACTTCGACGAGTATGGTCGTTTGACAGAATCCATAACTCCCAGTGGTCAAGTTATACGTCTCACTTATAATCTGAGTCTCAAAGGAGCATCGGTCACTATCACCAGGAATGACAAGGATCCGGTAGCATTACTTATTAAAGGGTCCGACGTTACGATGAAAATAGGTGAGTACATATTTATACCTAACATACATTCCAAGAAGTTGTTTCCGTTCCATAATGTTTAAAAACCTAATCCTCTTTCTTAAAAAAATAGTCTGGTTTAACCCACTGACGATTCTACACGTAAAAAGCCGTGTTTTAACGTGTAATCTTCTCCGCATAGCAAAACCGTTTTTCTCTGTTATTAGATAGGAAAATAGTGTATTAGGGAGAAAAATTCTCCCGATTTTGACCGTTTGCTAATTCAATAATGCTTTGTGAATTTTTGAGATCTCTCTTCTGGAGTCAATACAAACTGAGAAAAAAATACGATAAAAACTACCAGAATATGGTAAAATTTAGCTTATTTCAGTCTCTCTGGGACCAACAAAAGCTCGGTAATTTTTACCGAAGTGTTTTGGTAATTATTTTCGTAAATTTGACAATAAAATACGGTGTCATCATATATAATAAATTTTGGTAATTTTATCATGATAACTTTGATCATGGTATATAAAAAACATTTATTCGGTTAAATTTACTTTTCAGTTTAAGTTTTGGAAACCAATTTCTTTAGGTAAACTCTTATCCTGTGAACGAAAAATACTGTATATTTTGGTTATATTACCAGAATTATGGTTTACTTAATAGAAATGTCATTACCATACAATACGGTAATCTTACCAAAATTTTTTATCCAAGTTTATACATATCTATGCTACATAAAAAGTTTTTCGCAATAGTTAATATGTGCCGGAATTGTATAACTATAAAAACATCCATTTCATTCCCCAGAATTACGTAAGAAAAGATTACAGTTCAACATTATTAAGATGTTTTGAAAATTAACAATTTAAATTTTTAGAAATTTTATTTATTTTGATGCAAAACTTGCATGGGGCATATTTTACGAAAGCAGCTACATGCTTGAATATTGACTTTTAAAATTTGTCGGTAGCACAAATTCTGCTAAACTGCATTTTATTATTGTAAAAAATAATCATTTCTCCTCCTATATTTTAAAAGAAACTTTTACTGTTCAAAATTATTAAAGACTTCGAAAATTCGTAATCATATGTTTCAGAAAATATACTTATTTAAAGCAAAATTTATATGGGTTATATTTTGCGAAACCATTTACATGCTGAATATTGACTTTAATTTTTTTTTGTTTTATACTTAATTTTTTTTGTTTCTTACATAACAGACATCTTAACAAGCTAATAAAGCACAAATTTATGTTTAAAAAGATATTAGTGATTATGTTTACCCAGAACAGCGAGCCATGGTGCCTCAGGGGATAGAGCGCTTGCCTCCCAATGAAGTGACCTAGGTTCGAATCGACCACAGTGCTGCCGTAAAATTTTCAGTAGTAGACGGATCATGGGTTAGAATCCCCTTACCGCCAGACTTACCATGGCAGGTTTTTACTGCGTTTTTCACCGTGTAACGAAATGCGGTAAGGTTCATAAAAATATCCGCCACAAATTTTTTCCCAATACTTAATCCAGGAGTTCCCTTGTTTTCTGTATTGGGTAAAAAATTACAAGGCTACAAAATTGAAATTATTAGTCGTAAACTGAAAATGGGGTCTACTGTTCAACGATGGTTATAAAATATTGAGAACAGGATTAAATTAAATATAAATTTAATTTTTCAATAATAGGAAATATCTAATGCCTTTTTTGATATGATGGGTGATAATAACGTATATATCATACAACTATGTACATCAAAAAATTAAAACTCAGTATTCAGTCATGAATATCTAGAAATTTGAAGCCTCAATTTTTGTTTACAAGTTAGGGAAAAGTTAAGACAGCCCATATATCTTTTTACATTACCTAAGCGCATTCCATTAAATCTAAATCTCCCACTGAAACCTTAAATGGGACTTTCTATCCTGTCCTTGATGATGTTAAAGTTATAGGTCGCATTAAGTGAAAGAAAATAGAAATTATCCAGCGCCTACTCTACATTTCCATGATTAATTATTCATTAATTATTCATCAGATTCTTCATCGCGCAGTCAGATATTGGGGAATGAATTATACACTTAAATGAGAAATTTTAGGATGGAACTCAACAAAGGTGCTTAGCACCACAAAATTAAGCCGTTCAAGAATTCTTAGTTTCTTTTCCATATTAAAATGTCATAATCTTTTTATCGTAACAATTAATGCTTATTTAATGTGCGGTTCATTTATTACAATGATTAATTAGTGTTGCTTAAAAGAAATTTCAAAAGTGATGATTTCTACGGTAGTCAGGAAAAAATATACTGTTAAGTGATATTTATGTAATGACTCGTACGACGAGCACTTTCACGAAAAATTCTATTTTGGCTTGAAAATGATAATTTATTTATAGCATCAAAATATTGTTTAAAACTATTTGATCCAATGAGTGTAACATTTATAAATATGAACAAAATATAAATTCATAAAAAAAAAATTTTGAGTTTGGTTATAATCATATACATTCAAAAATGGACTATATTTTATACAAATTTATATAAATTTAGTTCTTATATTTTGATTAGCCAGAGGCAAATCCTACCAACTACAGTTACTTGGACAATGTCATAAGATTATTTTCACAAGTAGTCAAAGCAAAATGGCCATCATCCATAACAAAACTGAAAGCGGAATTGAATGTATGAGATACAATAAATTCCTCATCATATGACAACACTACGTAAATAAACACAATATAAACACAAAGATTTTTTTTTTCTTTTTTATTTATAATATAAAAGATAAAAGAAAAAAAAAGAAAAAAAAAGAAGAAAAAAAGTCATAAAGACCAAGCGTTCAAACCTATTTTAGTTTACTATTCACTTATTTGTGCCAGGTGTTTCATTATTAGAATTTATTTTTCAGGAACAAGGTAGCTCTACCTACCATAATATATTAATAATAAAAACAATTATATTTGGACCTGAAATTCAAAGCACAGTGTTATCTTTAAAATAAAGTGATAGTTAACAGTAAGAAATAATTACTTGGTATAAGCAACTGCGCACTACCACTTTTTTCATAGATAAACCATTCTTTGTGGCTAGGCATTAATGAGTTAAACACCGATATAATGTATCAAATTATTTTCATAATTTACACTAATACTGTAATAAACTTACGACTTGTAATGCCAGTTCCTTGGTTGAGCTCATTGATAAGAGCTTGTCTTGCATCACTACCACCATCACCAGCTTCAAAATCTTTAATGAACTCAGGTGCTGGAGGAGGAGGGGGTGGTGGTGGAAGTCTTGGTTGTAACATTCCACCCTTTAATAAAAAACAGAACTCAGAAATACAAGATGAACAATTTACTATGATGTCAATAACATAAAAATTGTTCAAATAAAGAATATTGTTAAAAATTCAATATTAAACAGTACACTTAGTTCTATTTCATTGTTTTTCTTTTTAATTTTTTAAGATTTCAGTTCAAAATACATGTTTCATATTGTTGGTCCAGAAAAAAAATTATTTTTAAATTTATGCATTACTATTTGTTATAACTGTTTTGTTGGATTTGGTGGACTTTCAGACAATATGGTTGCTCAATTTTCGAACTTTCATTCAAGATTCAAATTTTAACAGGATCCCAGTTAAGAAAAGATTCATACTTATTATTTTTATTTCGCATTTATTTTTTAAAACATGTTANAATTCTAACCACGGATTTGCCCGAAATGGATTTGCACATGGAAAGATTAACAAAGAAAAAATTTTAGTACATAATTATAGCCACGGATTTGCCCGAAATGGATTTGCACATGGAAAAATTACATAAATTAACAAAGAAATTATTTAGTAAATAATTTTGGCAATGAATTTTGGCCTGAAATGGATTTGCACATGGGAAAATCATAAAAATTAACAAAAAAAATGTTTAGTAAATATATCCACCAAAATATACGATTAATTCAATGATTTTATATAAAATTTTATTACATTAGTTGGGTATCCATTGTTTTTTATCGGATTTTGAAAGAGTTTATCAATTTGTTTTTTGGATAAATAAATATTACTACATATTCTTTTAATTCTGTTCATTTGTATTTGTATTGTTTGTCAGTAGTATTTAAATAGATGCTCCTAGAAACATTAGAATTCCAAGTAACTTATTGTTTTTCTTAACTTTCTTAGTGTTTTCTTGTATTTATTTATTTATTATATGTGTGTGCGTGCGTGCGTGTGTGTGTGAAATCATATTCTTTAAAATAATGAAAACATCTATTTTTCGGTTGATAGGTGAATTTTATAATGGAAGAAAAAATTTTATAAACAAAATTACATTTAAAATTTTTCAATTTGCTTAAAAGATTCTCGAGTTATGGCGAAATACCCAAAAAGTGTATTGATATTTAAGGGTCTAAAATCTTCGACCGCTATTCTGACCCAACTATTTAGGATCATGGCTCATAGGATAGAGCGCTCGCCTCCCAATGAAATGAACCAGGTTCGTATCCCGGTGATGGCTGGTTTATTCAAATTCCGCACCCAGTTCGCATCGACCACAGTGCTGATGTAATATATCCTTCATGATAAACGGACCATAGGTTAGCAGGCTCTCCGCGGGAGGTTTCGCAGTTTCGCTCTCTATGTAACGCAATTGCGAGCTAGTTCCATTAAAAAGTCCTCCCCGAACGCAAATTTCACCAAAACTTGATGCAAGAGTTACCTTGTCTTCTGGATTGGGTTTAAAATTACTAGGCTACGGAGTTCAAGATTAGTAGTAGTAAGCCCAAAATTGGGTCGGCCGTTCAACGACGGTTATAAAAATATAGTGACTACTCCACATGTTTCGAGAGATAAAGAACCAAAACCATTGAAATAAAGATATGTTTATTAAAAAATACGTTTTTGTGACAAATTTCGTAACTTAAAATATCATTCCCACTAATTTATTAGTTTATGAATTAGTGCAGATGATATATGCACTGATTGATAGTCCCCTCATGAACCACTAAGCTTAAATACCATCATTAGATCAAACGTTATTCAGGATGTTACTTT